GCGGTGGCCGTGCTCCTGGAGAATGACACCAAAGGCAAGGTGCGGCTGCCCGCCCTGCACATCGCTGCCCGCAAGGACGACACCAAGTCAGCAGCGCTGCTGCTGCAGAACGACCACAACGCGGACGTGCAGTCCAAGGTAAGGCCTGGGTCCTGGCCACGGGCTCCCACCGCCCTCTGTGCCAGGCAAGGCCCCGCGGGCTCCCGGCCGTGGGCTCCGGATGGAGAGCAGTGGGCCCCGTGTAACAGGTGCTCTGCTCGTCTAAAGGGGTCACTGACTTTCAGGGGGTTTGGGAAGGAAGGGGACTGTCTGTCAGGTACCATAACAGAAAAGTTAAAGATAATCTTTTGTAGCCCTGGCCGGTTTTGCTCAGTGGATAGAGCATCGGCCCTTGGACTGAAGGGTCCCAGGTTCGATTCCGGTCAAGGGCACGCACCTCAGTTCCCCGGCCCTGGTCGGGGTGCGTGCTGGAGGCAAACAATCAATGTGTGTCTCTCACATCGATGCTTCTCTCTGTCTCTCTCTCTCCCTTCCTCTCTCAAAATCAATGGAAAAATACCCTCAGGTGAGGATTAACAAAAAAAGTAAATAAAAAAAAAGTTTTTTAAAAGATGAGGTTCAGCTTTTTAGAAAGTTGCCTAATTTTTCCGTTTCTAGTAAAAAAGAATAGAAACAGAGAGATGAGCGCGTGTTGTGCTGGGCCAGCGGGCCGGCTCCGCGCGGACGGCCGCCTCATTTGCAGTGTGCTAACATCTCCCCTCTTTCCCCCACACCCACCGCTTCAGATGATGGTGAATAGGACGACTGAGGTACGGTACCAGCTAATGCCAACATACGCCTTGTTTTCCTTTATTTTTTAGTTTTTGCCCAGTTAGAATAAATGCTCACTAACTTCACTAATGATGGTACTTCCCTTATTAGGAAATTGATTTCGGAATGTTTCCCATAATTAAGGGACTGGGTAATTCCAGACAATGAATGTTGAATATGTCCGAAGCGATATTTACCCAGGGTACGTATGGAATGGCCCGTTAGCGTGGAGCATGGAGCCAAACTCCATCTTAAAGCAGGTCCCTCTGGGGCTTGGCTGCTTTGCCAACGAGCTGTGCCCTCTGGACTTATTAGGGTCCTCCTAAGGCTTAGGAAGAGCCACACTCAAGGGGCCAGAGAGCCGCATGTGGCTCGCGAGCCGCAGTTTGCCGACCACGGGTTTAGGTGACTCTGGTGGTTGAGCGCATTTCTGAAGCAGCCCTGCTCCACGCGTGTGCTGGAGGCGCCGTTTGGGAAGGCTCGCACTGAGGCAGAAAGGGTCTGTGAGCACACGGAGTCTCAGGGGCGTTTTCCTGGGCGACTGCGGGCGTGGAGCCCCGCCCCCCATGCGGCTCAGGGACTCCCCCCAGCCGCAGGCAGGCACCACCGCGCCAGGGAGGCCACCTCGGACAGGACGCCCGTTTAATTTTGCAAATGAGAAAAATGATGTTTGAAGAAGTTGGAAAAGATCCAGCAGCGATCGCTGTTTCGCTGTGATTCCACTGTAACCGGAATGACAGACACGCACTCGGGAAGTTGTCGGGCGGCAGGATCCACGAAGGGAAACGTGGGAAACATACGCCCATCATTCCTTCAGCTGTAAGCGCTTGGCATTGGATAAATCAGAGCCAGGTTGCAGACTGATTCTTCCCTCTGTTTTGACGTGAATGTTTGGCCTCAGGTAGCCACCGGATAGCAACGTCCTGACCGCCGTGGGTGTGGATGCAGAGCGACTGCTGCTCTGTGTCCTGCTTCTCTGCGTCAGGAATCGTGTGCGTTAGTGTGGCCGGCGCACAGGGATCCCTGCCCCTGAGGGTCTAGAGCAGCCGTGGGCAAACTATGGCCTGTGGGCCGGATCCGGCCCGTTTGAAAGGAATAAAACTAAAAAAAAAAAAAAAAAAGACCGTACCCTTTTATGTAATGATGTTTACTTTGAATTTATATTAGTTCACACAGACACTCCATCCATGCTTTTGTTCGGCCCTCCGGTCCAGTTTAAGAACCCATTGTGGCCCTCGAGTCAAAAAGTTTTCCCACCCCTGCTTTAGGGCCTGATCTGGGTTCAGAAGGCAAAGTCTGTAGTCAAATGACCGGAAAAGTGACAGCCAGGATTCAGGTGACACTTCTTAAATACAGTGCTCGCCACACCCAGGTTCATTTCACCTGAGACAGAACAATGCTAGGCCACCTCACACCCGGGGACCGAGGCCCGGCTACGGGACAGTCTGGATTGCTTCTGTAATCCTTCATTAAGTAATGAAGTTACTGAAACGAGAGCAAGGGTAATAGCGCTTTGCGGACTTTAATAACAGAACTGCTATGCTGCTTCTGTGAAAACGGCAAACCTTTCTAACTAATTTTTCATCAGAAAAGAAATGAAAATGTACTTTCCTTCCATTTAAGAGCTTAAGACATTTTTTTAAAAAAACGTTCTGACAGTAACAGGTCTCTAATGCCCGTGTAGCTGATTTAACCTGCTTATTGTATTTTATATCCATCTTAGCTTATTAATCAAGTTTGGTTTAAGTAACATTCGAAATTAGGTTCAGTTGAATTTTTAATTTTATATTCACGTTGACAGCAAGGGTGCTGGTTAACTTTTGTGTGTTTTTTATTTTAAACTTTTCCCGTTTAACCACGTGGTCTGACTGCCCCGCGTTAGGGCGAGCAGCCAGGACGTGTCGCCCTGAGAGTGACCACGTCCTCGCAGCGTCCGCACGCCAACCCCTGCTGTCCATCCGTTTCTTAAGAAACATTCATTTTGAGTTCTTCTCTGGGGAAAAGATTTCAAGCTCATAATTGTTATTCCCGTGGCTAACACCTTATGTTGTTTAGTCATCGTTTTTCTCTGAAGCTAAAGGAACTCCAGAACCTGGTTTTGTACAGATGGCACATCTCCCAGGGGAACTGTGACGGTAATTAGAAATAACACCAAGGATGTGGGGGCTCACTGCCCCCTTAGAGACGTGGTTATTCCCCTCCGAGCGCTGACAGGAGCCGTGGGCAGTGCCTGTGGCCTGGGCTGAACTGCGGTCACCAGCTAGACAGCCACCCCTCGGTGTTTTTTTGTTTAATTTTTCTTTTTTAACCACGTGGTTCTCCTCATGCTCCTGCGATGGCACACGGGGAGGGACGGCCTGACCGACTGTGCTTCTCTCTGCTCCCCAGAGCGGCTTCACGCCCCTGCACATCGCCGCCCACTACGGCAACGTCAACGTGGCCACCCTCCTGCTCAACCGGGGAGCCGCCGTGGACTTCACCGCCCGGGTACGGACGGGGCGGGTCCCCTGCGCTGGCTTTGGGGTCCCAGGGAGGCCCGTCCCTCTCTCTTACCCCCATCTGTGCCTGCAGTGGCTCAGGGAGGCCCCATCCCTCTCTCTCACCCCCATCTGTGCCCGCGGTGGCTCAGGGTCCGAGGGAGGGCCCATCCCTCTCTCTCACCCCCATCTGTGCCCGCGGTGGCTCAGGGAGGCCCCGTCCCTCTCTCTCACCCCGATCTGTGCCCGTGGTGGCTCAGGGTCCCAGGGAGGCCCCGTCCCCCTCTCTCCCCCACATCTGTCCAGAGATACGAGATTTTCCTTCCTTCCTTCAAATCTCAAAGTCCTCCCAACCCAACCCGTGAAAAATAAGGACGGCACCCCCACCGCACAGGCCGCTGCAGGTCAGGGAGTGTGAGTGCTGGCGTCAGGGTGAGTGGTTAGACGTCGAGCTCTCGCATGGGCCAGGGAGCAGCCGCCAGTCAGTAGATAATTGTAGAGCGCGTACGTGCATGTCCGCACCGTCTCCACGGGTTGCGGGGCACACGGTGTGGCAGGGATTGTCCTAACGAACGGAGACTGTGCTGAGGTGGCGTCTTCCTGGGACGTGGAAACGCCTCGTCGAGCTATGGGTTCCAGGGAATGCGCTCACTGGGGATCCCCTCCCGCGACCGTCACACTCAGTGTAGCGGGGAAGGGGCGGCGGCTCCCGCGCACGCGGAGGGGAGCTCCAGGCCGCACTCGCACCGTCGGACGAGAAGCGTGAGCGAGGTGGACGGGAGCGGTGAGACGAGGGGCGGATGGCTGGGCTCTGCCGTGCTGGGTGGAGCGAGCGGCAGGGACCAGGACGGGGCGTTTCCCCTCGGGAGCTGAGTGTCCCCTTGGGAATGCAGGCTCAGAGACGCGGGTCGCTCTCATAAGGGGCGGACACAGCGTGCAGGCAGGGGCCACGGCGCCAGGTCAGGTGGGCAACCCCGAGCGGCCTCCTAGGAAAACCGTCGCCATAACCGCCACCCGTCTGCGCTGCAATGACAGCAGCTAAGGGAGAGGAGGCAGAGCGCTTCCCACGGGTTCCAGGAGGACACGCCGCACGGCACCGCACGGGACGCACCGAGAATTCAGGGAGCCGGGTCACAGCAGGAAGTAAAGCAGGACCCAGTGTGGCCGGAGGGTCGGCCCGGCCTGGCCCGGGAGCCGCAGCGGCCTCTGGGCTTCTGCAGCCAGGAACCTGTCACCACAGACACGTGCTCCTACAGCCAGACGACGGGTGTGCGTGGGGGTCCCCAGTAGCGGACACAGATCAGAGCGGCTGGGGTTAGAGTAGGGGTGTCGGGGGAGAGGCCTGTTCCCTCTGTGCACAGCCAGGGGCAGGTGGGAATTGGGTGCCACGCGTCAGGCGAGCAGCCTTCCTGGTGGGTCAAGGCACCGAAACAGCAGGTGTGCAGGGGAAACACCTGAGGGAGAGGCAGAGCCATGGCCTGAAACTAGTGACCTCAATAGGGAGGATGCTGGGAAGAGATTCGGGGGGTCAAGAGGAAGGAAAGCTCGAGATGGGGGACAGAAGAGACCCTGCCCATTGTTAGAGGCAGGCAGGCGAGGGACACGTGTTCAAGCGACAAGACCAGGCTCAGAGTCC